AGTTGCTTCATAACCAATAAGAAGTTCATGAGATTAAAACAAGAATGGTCTATCAAAAGACAACACATTTGGACTACCTAGACTAGGGTGTAGTATCAAATACATTAACTTAAGCAAAAGACCATCAAGCATTCAATCAAATGATGAAGCACATGAAGGTAAGAATCAAGCATAATCCATCAAAGGAGGTACCTAAGCAATGGAATATCAAGTTTCAAAATCAACATGCCTTGAAAACCATTCATAGTTAATATCTTCATTGTCACTATGAAAATAAAAGCAATAAGACTAATGTAAGAATCATCAAGACAAGCTAAATAACTCACATCAATCATTTAAACATGAATATTCATTACAAGAAGTAATAAGCTCTTAAACTATGAAAAGACCAAAGTTTATACATTATAATCCCCAAAATAGAACCTAATCTAGAACATGAACAAAAGGGGAGGCTTCATCACCTCCCTAGATGAGGTTTAGTTACCCATGAGTGAGCTAGAAGAAGGAAGAAGCTTGCCCTTTTCCTCCATTTTCGAGCTCCCTTCCTTTTGCTCCAAGAACCCTCTTCTTCTTGCTCTCTTCTCTCTCCTCTATCTTGTAGAATATAGGATAATGATATGTGTGGCCTTCCTTGCCTTATCTCCTTCAACAAAGCTCTCTCTCTCCTCCAAAAAAAACATCCCCAACCACCTCATAAAGAAGTAAGTAGAAAATGAGGAAACCAATGCACAAGTGGCTGCCAAAATGAGAATTCCCGAAGGCAATTCTGCCCCAAATTCGAGCACTCTAAGCAAGGCCTCGAGCGCTCGAATTTAGTGTAAAAATGCCCATGCTTCACTTGCTCCGCCCAGACCTACTTTGGTTAAACAGCCATAACTTTGCGCTCCGAACTCCGAATGACAAACTGTTTAAAGATTTGGAGAGCTGATTCAGAGCTTTAAAAACTTCATGTTTTGATGAAGACCTAAATCTCAAGTCTGATTGGTCGAAAATGGGGAGAAAGACAGTACTTCAGTGCTGCCAGGCAGTTCTGCGCACCTCTGGTAACAAGGCCATAACTCTCTGCTCCGAGCTCCGAATGATGAACCGTTTGAAGATTTAGGAAGCTAATTCAGAGCTCTAAATCTTTCATGTTATGATGGAAGTCCAGTTCTCGAGCTTTCTGGGTCAAAATGGCGAGCAAAGTCCTAACTCCACTGCTGATCTCGTGAAGCAATCTGCCCTAATTTCGAGCACTCGAAATTAGGCCTCGAGCACTCAAAAATTGGCCAGAATGCCCTATGCTTGGTTTGCTCATCCCGGACCTACTTTGGTAAAACGGCCATAACTTTGTGCTCTAAACTCCAAATGATGAACTGTTTGAAGATTTGGAAAGCTAATTCAGAGCTCTAAAAACTTCATGTTTTGGTGGAGATCCAATTCTCAAGGATGATTGGTCGAAAATGAAGATCAAGGCAGAATTTCATTGCTGCCAGGCAGTTCTGCGCACCTCTGGTAACAAGGCCATAACTCTCTGGTCTGAGCTCCGAATGACGAACTTCTTGAAGATTTGGAAAGCTGATTCAGAGCTCTAAATATGCCATTTTATAATGGAAGTCCAGTTCTCGAGTTTGCAAGGTCAAAATGGTGAGCAAAGTCCTGACTCCACTGCTGCCAGAAATTCAGAATTGTGCCTTTTGATGGCCAAAACTCCACAAAGCCTTGATTTTGCTCCTTTTTTGGCAAATGGACCTGAAAATGCATAAAAACATAGAAATGAAGATAATCTACATAAATTAACATACAACGGACTTTACTAATGCAATTTAGGGCGCTTGAATATATAATATTCAGCGCTTATCACTACATTAACCACGTTTCATACACAACCAAGATTTTGGAACATACAAGTCATGCCCTAAGTTCATCAACTATAATGGCATGTGAAATGTCAAGAAATCATAATATAGATCTATATACATTATAACCAAGGTACATAGCATAAGGATTCCATTGAAGTAGATATACCACAAGTATAAGATACATGATTCAAATAATTACTAAGCAGCACATGAGTAATTAAAATCATTTTAAGACAAACATACTAGTTCATTAAGCATATTAATGAAGTCATAATACTAGGGGTCATGATTAAATCGATGGGAGCATAAAAAAGGAACTTAATCTACTCAAGGGATCAAGTTGTCAAGATTACAAGGTAAGTCCAAGTGTTCTACAACAAGGCATGTCAAGGATCATGTCAAGGACAAGTCTAAGATCAAGTTACTAGTTCATTTCATACAAGATTCAACCATGTGAATTTAGTTCCATACAAAGGAATTAATTAAATATAAATTTTAAAACTTATCCGGTTATTCTCGATTTGACACATGTGAAGGAATTTGTCAAGGATATCATGAATACCAAGTTAGAAACTTAATCAAGTTCAAAGAATCATTGAGTAGGTTTTAATTAATCCCTTTAATTAAAAACTCTAGATTTTGGAATTCATCCAATTGCTCTCAAGTTAATGTATGATATACAACATGTCAAGACTTGATTTACAAACATGATACAAGTGAATTACATGCAAGATACGGCCATGAGTATTAAACTTTAATACTAGAAAATTAATAAATGAAAGGTTTCAAGACCTAATCAAATATTCTAGATTAAATATACGTGAAACTATATGGCATGCACATCATGAATATCAAGTCGGAAATCAAATGGAGTGAATAGTACACTCAGAATAAATTAATTAATCAATTAATTAAATATTCTCTAGATTTTAAAACATCTCTGATTACTCTCGAATTTACCTATGTTGAAGAGCATGCTAGGGCCTAATATAATATGCTAACACACATCGATTTCAAGCTAGTTAAGGCCACATGAATTAATATTTTATTCTAGTAAAATATTAAATAAAATCTTCGTTACTTGTCCAATTTCTCTCAATTTAATATATGTTAATCTACATACCAAGGGGTAATATTCTATCATGCCACATGTTTAAACAAGGCTATGGGCAACCAGGAAAATCAAATCACATGCTAGAAAATAAATAATTAAAATCTCTAGATTTAATATCCAAGCATGTAAACAAGTATCATAAGCATCACAAGCATGCTATATAACAAGAAAACAACCTAGAACACCCCTTACCTCAATTTGAGATGAAAACCTCAAATCCCCACTGAAAAAAAAAATGTCCCAAATTCGCCGAAACCGAAGGGTTTTGTCGGGGACAACACGATCTGCATGAATCCGAAGGAAGCCCCATGAAAATCACAACTTGATCTCAAACCCAAATTCAAGAAATAGTCAAAAATGAATTGTAATAAGGGGGAATGATAAAACACGTCGAGGGGAACAAAAAACGTGAAAGTCGAAGACTTTTCACTTAGGAAAAGTAAATCAAAGGAGGAGAGAGAAGGTGGCAGCTCCATGGACATCAATGGCTGCTTCAGCTCATGCATGGAGAGTGGGGAAGATGAAAAATGAAATATCTCATCCCCCTTTTATAGAAATCTCAAAAAGTGCCTCGAACGGGCCCCGCCGGGTCCGGAAAAATGGATTTTGAGCAAACGCGCTCAAATTGAAAAACTCCGTGAACAAAAAAGATTCAAAATGAGAAAATATGAGCAATGGAAGAAACAACGTCGAAAACTGAGTCTCGAGCAGAAAGTTATGCCCCAAACAAGTTCGGCGGCAACCGGGTCCAGAAACTCTGAAACTGGAGAAAAACGACTAGAAGGAAATTCTAAGAGTCCATGACTCAAAAATATGTGAAAATGAATCCCGTACGAGGATCTAGGCTCCATATGAGGCATTTTGCAATAACTTTCGTTAATTGCACAATGGCCCCCACAAAAAGGGTTAACTGCGAAACTGCCCTAGAATGAAAATATCTTCCAAAAGATATTTTCTTAGATACCCCTAAAATAAAATATCTTCAAAATATATTTATGAAAAACACCCCAAGAAATGAAAAAGATTCTGAAGAATTGTGCATCCACGCCCCTATGAACACCGGGAGCAACTAGAGTACTTTCTTGAAAAAGTAAAGATACGTATTTCGAGGAAACCACTCAAGATAAAGGCACGTGAAGTCAAAAACCAACTCCAAGCATGAGAAGTGAGGTTGTGCGAACAATGTGACAAACGGGGAAAAGACAAAACAGGGAAAAGGATGAAAGGCGCAGAGTGTCTGAAAAGTGAAAATGCAGAAATGACTCGGTCCTCAAAGGAAGTTGTCAATCCATGGAAAAGAGTCTCGGAAACCATTTCCGAGCACTCGAGATGATACTAAGCGACAAGAAACGGAGCTCAGAAAAGAAAATTAAACGGAAAAAATTTATCCGTAAAATTTCAGGAAAAAAGAAAAGGAAGGCAAATAACCGGGTCGTTACACGCTTGTTGCAGATGGTTTCATGGATAGGGTGGAGAAGCATCCTAACACCATGAAATTGGCGACGGATAAGTTAAAGATCACTTTGGCAACTTACAACTTTGTTGGGGATGAAAAGATTTGGTGGAAGACCGTTTCCCACACCCACAATTTGGATACAATGACCTATGCTACATTCAAGAAGTTGTACTATGAGAATTACTTTCCGGCACCTAAGCGAAGAAAACTAAAGAAATAGTTTGATGGGTTAAAGCAAGGGAATATGACAGTTACAGAATATGAGAACAAGTTTACGTCGCTTTTGAGGTTTGCACCTGGGATTGCTAATGATGAGGAAGGAAAGATAGAGAAATTTGTTGATGTCCTTGATCTTACTATCTGGCCAATTGTAACTGCCTTAGAACCGACAGAGTATGCAAAAGTAGTGCGAAAAGCCTTAGAAGTTGAGGCTGAAAGCAGGGACAGTAAGGTTATCAGGGAGTCCTATAAGCATAACAAGAGTATGGGTGCTTTCTCCGAGGGTTAATTAAGTAAGAAACAGAAACATGAACAGTCAGGGTTCAGGGGACAACAGTCAGTCAGATCCACATCCGTAGCTTCAGTGTCCATGGGGTCTTCAAGATCGAATGTTACTTGTTTTAGATGTGGGCAGTTGGGACATTACAAGTTCCAATGCACTCAGACTCAGATAGCTCAGGTGATTTATTTCAAGTGTGTGCAGTCAGAGCATCACAAGTCCCAGTGTACTCAGATTCAAGTGGCGTCTGGTGGGTGTTTTGGGTGTGGCCAGCAGGGTCATAAGGTGAAGGATTATCCACAGTGGGGCAGTGGTTCAGGCAGGGGTAGAGGTCTACAGCAGAGGCAGATGCAGTCTACCACAGTTCAGTTAGGGTTTCGACCGCTACCACTACCTCAGCCATCTCAGCCAGCTATGACAGCTTAGAGTTCTCGACCGGGTAGAGGGACTTCTTCGAGTGTACCCACTCAACAGTCGGGTTATCAGACACATGGGTCTCAGGGGCAATGGACTCAGGGTCGTGTGTTTGCACTCACTCTAGCCGAGCCATCATCCAATCTTTCAGTTGTCAGGGATATATTTCTTGTGTCCCATTCTTGGGCTCATGTATTATTTGATTTTGGTGCTTCATATTCATTCATTACTTCATCATTTGCACGGGCATTGGGATTTAAGGTCAGTCAGTTAGATATATCGCTTTGTGTTGACACGCCTATTGGGGGTTCAGTCACTCTTAGTACAGTTTGTCGGGCTTGTTCCATTACCATTGCCGGACGGGTACTAAAGTTCAATCTTATCCTTCTTGAGATAACAAGATTTGACATCATTCTTAGGATGGACTAGTTGTCATCCTTCAGAACTGTATTGATTGCTTTAGGAGCAGAGTTTCAATGTGTACCCTGGATGGGGATTGTTTCTTCTTTGTGGGAGATTAGTGTGATTCTCTCATTCTTGCGTTTTATGGTGTTAGAGGTCGGGATCGACACGGGTTATTCTTCGCTAGCCTTTTCGCCGAGAAAAATGTTAAGTATTGTAGGGTTGATTATCCAGTGGTTGTGCGCGATTTTCTAGATGTGTTTCCAGAGGACTTGACTAAGTTGCCTCCACACCGAGAGGTAGAGTTTGCTATTGATTTGATACCTGGTACCGCACCAATCTCTATGGCATCGTATCATATGGCACCGATTGAATTAGAAGAATTGAAGAAGTAACTTGATGATTTGAGAGTGAAAGGTTTCATCTGACTGAGTGTGTCACCATGGGGTGCACCGGTCTTGTTTGCTAAGAAGAAAGATTATTCTTTAAGGTTGTGCATTGATTACCGGAAGTTGATGTAACAACCTGAACCCATGGGTCCGAACCGTTAACCGGGTCCTTGCCCTGACCCGAGGTCAACTATGTTATAATATCCATTTCCTATGTCTATATCTGTCATACGAGTTAATCCAGGGTCCCTAATTGCCCTAAGACACAACGTTACAATGAGGTTCAAATACACAGGTCAAAGAGGAATAGTCAGTCTGCTGATAGCCCTTGGTCGGCCGACTAACAAGGCAGGATTGGCTGACTAACCTATATGGTCGGTCGGCTGAAATGGTTGTGAAACTTGCATGTTCTCGGGACATTTCAAAATAGCCTATCGGTCGGCTGATAAAGGGGGTTCGGTCGGCTGAACCTGGGGTTTCGGTCAGCTGATGGTGAGGATTAGCCGGCTGAAATAAGGCTTCCTGGGACTCAACTCTCTGGAATAATTTCCTGACCATGCTCAATTCAAGCTAAACTTCAACTAGACCTATTAGGCAGTCAAATTCTGAATTCAAGGCAAAAAAAAAGGCTATAATATAATTGAAAGGCATTTATAGTTAATCAAAACATAATTCCATTACCCAATTCACCTCCATACGTTCCCATAGTTCCAAATATACATCAAGTGTTGTCAAAAGATTATAGTCCCATTATAATACAATTACATTTCATAGGTTACAATTTTGCAAAAGAATGGGCTAATTACAAAAGGTGACAAAAATAAACTCCTAGTCTTCCTCATGCTTGTGAAGGATCGGCATCCACTACTTCCTTTCCTAGCCTTGAAAACTGTTAAATAATGGGGTGAGCAATTTGCTCAGTAGTTGGTGCCTAAGACACACCTTTTGTGACTCCACGAATCCAACCAATGAATAGGACAATAAGGAACGGGATCATACTAAGCCGGGGAAAAATACAACATCATAATATAATTGAAAGGCATCTATAGTTAATCAAAACATAACTTCATTACCCATTCACCTCCATACATTCCCATAGTTTCAAATATACATAAAGTGTTGTCAAAAGATTATAATCCCATTACAATACAATTACATTTCATAGGTTACAATTTTACAAAAGAATGGGCTAAATACAAAAGGTGACAAAAATTAACTCCTAGTCTTACTCATGCTTGTGAAGGATCGGCGTCCACTACTTCCTTTCCCGACCTTGAAAAATGTTAAATAATGGGGTGAGCAATTTGCTCAGTAGTTGGTGCCTAAGACACACCACTTGTGACCCCATGAATCCAACCAATGAATAGGACCATAAGGAATGGGATCATACTAAGCCGAGGAAAAATACAACATCAATTTCAAGTTCAAAATAAACAATGCCGCACCATGAAATGCGATGCCATGTATGTCACTCCCCATTTTCAAAATCCAAATCCATCACTTTTCAAATTGTTAATATAACCCATCCGTTAGTGACTCCCCAGCGATACGAGAGAAGGGTTGGTTACTGTCCCTAACCCTTGGTACCTCCGCGGCGTCATTTGGGGCCCAGCTAGCTCAACTACGCTAGGGTGTTTCTCCTAGTTCTCTCTAGATTACATTAACACACCGGCCCTTTCGGTGACTCCGCGGCGACTGGGTTTTCTCAAAACCATTTAATCAAATTTTTTTTCTAAGAAAACCCCTTTCCTTTTCTAATTCAAATGACTTTGCCCATTTTCATGCCCAATTCTATGAATGCATGTCACATACTTTGTCATTTCCATGGAAATAAAGAAATTTCTACTACATAATTTAACATGCTTCCACATAGCCATTTCTAGCAAGATAATAAACATTTGGGCGTGGAAATTAACACTTAGGTATGTTTTCATACCATTCAATTAACATATATAATCATAGACTTCATATACCATATTTACATCATCCTCAAGGCAATTAACTCAAAATTAAACATGTTTTGCAACAAATATTGAGGAATAATTCACAAAGGAACAAGAAAACATGAATTAGAGACCCGTACCTCAAATTAAGCAAAAACCCCCCAATTTGTGCCCTAGATCACGAGTTTCCTAGAATGCATCAAACAAGGAATTGTTCTGATCAAATCGTAGATCTCGCCGTGATCTTCAATTTGCCGCAAACGGCTCCCAAAAATACCAAGGATTGAGGGAGAAATCAAGGTTTAAAGCTTTTGAGGTAAGAGAAAAAGAAAAATAGAATTTGAGAGGGTGAGAGAGAGACCAGCAGGGAGAGAGAAAAGGGGAAGGAAATGAGGCTAAAAATGCCTCTTTGTCTATCTTTAACAAAGATGTGGGTCCCACCATTTTTTTATTTATAAATTTTCCTTTTTCTTTTTCTTTATTAATTCTCACCACAATTTTACATATATGCACCAACTATAAAATAGTCACATGTAACACATCAAATAAAATGATAATGATGCAAATGGATCCTACCAAAATCCCCATATGCAACAGTTCTGGTAGCGGGTCCCACACGGGACCCTCTGGCCCGAAAAACTAAAAAAAATGCCAAAATGACCACCTTTGCATCTCAAAGAGTCTTGAACTCAAAGAGTCTTGAACTTAATGAGATGTCCCAAACAACTCTCGTACACAACCGGCACACTCCACAGTGTCCAGTATAAAAAGGATAAAAGACGAAAATGCCCTTACAACGACAAAATTCTCGAAAAAATGAAAAATGGCGAAAAATGGAAACATCACAATCTCCCTAACTTAAAAGGATTTTGTCCCCGAAATCAAGCCATACTTGGGGAAGAAAACAATGATGGATACTTAGAGCGAATCTCCTGTTCAAGCTCCCAAGTAGCCTCCTCGACTCCGTGATGCCTCGAAAGAACTTTCACTAGCGGTATCATTTTATCTCTTAACATGTTCTGCCGTGTGTCAAGGATCTGAACTGGTCCCTCTTCATAGGAGACATCCTCATCAAATGACCACATCAACCCAATCCAAAACGTGAGATGGATCCGGTTCATACTTCCGTAGCATCGACATACGAAAAACATTGTGAACGACCCTGTCCATCTATGGCGGCAGAGTAAGTCTATAGGCAACCTCTCCTACACAATCCAAAATCTCAAATGGTCCAATGAATCGTGGCGACAACTTGCCACTTTTCCCGAATCTCATCAAACCCTTCCGTGAAGAAACCCGTAGGAAAACGTAATCTCCCACCTCAAAAGATAGTGGTCGTCTCCGCCTATCCGCATAACTCTTCTGTCGACTCTGAGCTGTAAGCAATCTCTGCCTGATCAGCTTAATCTTCTGGTAATGACCCAAATCCTCATGGATCCGGATCATTAAACGGGTCCTTACCAGACCTAAAAACATCCGAGGGTAATACAATCATTTCACACTAAATTTAAATATCAAGGTCGAAAAAGAAAAAGATAGTAATTTACTATAATTCAATAAATTGAGACTCAAAGGAGTACAATAATCATTTACTTGTATCACGTAATAAATAAGATGAAGTTCGGGGCAAAATAGTCCTTCCGGTGGTTGAAATATTATAATTGCATTTATTTGGGTCATCACATAAATACTTGCAACATTAATTGGGTGTCAAAGTGTAATTTTGGGAAACTAAATTGAGCTTACATAAGAAGCAGAAACCGGTCGACGTATATACCCCATACGTCGACTGGTTTGGGTTATGAACAGTGGAAAACCCACTGCCGAGATACCAGTCGACCTATGGAATTATACGTCAACTGGTTTGGGACGTGAGTAACAAAGACCCACACTGCCAAGATACCGGTCGACGTATGGGAAGCTACACGTCGATCGGTTCTGGGAAATTCTCATTTCCACTTCCCACTCTCCAATGCAAATCCATATACACCAACATTTGGTAATTATCCACCCAAACCCTTACATTCACGTACATGTTTGCATACATTTCAACACTAAATTACAATTTCAACAACCACGTTGTTAACGTAACTCTCTACACGTTACTTAAAATATAATAAAACCTTAATTACATTACCCAATGGCCATGCACATAATAAGTCCACACATTTTTCATGTTGCAAAAAATAATACATTTTAGTTAGTGCTTTACAAAATTAGGTCCATATACAAAGGATAGCAAAAGAAACAATTTCCCTACTCCAAGCTAAGACTAGGGTGGATTACCATCAGCTACTTCTTTTCCATGACCTGAAAAATGTAGAATATGATGAGGTGAGCCATATGCTCAGTAGGTGACATTTAAGACACGTCTCTTGTATCCCCGTGAATCCAACCAAAAATTAGGACAATTGGAACGGGGATAATACAATGTCAGAATAACACAACATAACAACAAGTCTCATTATAAACAATAGAATGCTATGGGATGCAATGCATGCCGATGTCGATCCCCATTTTCTTTTCTCAAAACATCACTTTCAAACTGTTAATACAACCCGCCCTTTGGTGACCCTACAGCGACACGAGAGGACGATTGGCTAGTGTCCCTAACCCTTGGTACCCCCGCGGCGTCATTATGGGGCCCAGCTAGCTCAACCACGCTAAAGCGACTCCCTAGTCCCCTCTAGGCTACATTAACACTCCGGCCCATTGGTACCCCCTCGGCGACCGGGTTTTCACAAAACAATTCATCAAAATACTTTCCCAAAACTCCTTTTTTTCCACTTCAAAATCAATTCCTCCATTTCTTGCCCAATGTAATTGCATAGATGCATTTATGCCATGCCAATGTTCATTATTTCATAATTAGCTAAAATTTAATTAGCAAAACACAATTCATAAGAACTTCTAAAGAAGCTACAACATGCTTTCATACAATAACATCTAGCATGATAGGCATATAAAGAATCAACATATTGGCATGCTCTTCACATAGACCACTTATCACACATAATTGCACAAAATTAACAAGCATACATCACAACTAATCAATTAGCTAGA